GGGCAATTTCTACATAACATTCCTGTTGGCGGGTTTGATGGAACTTCCGGCACAACTCTTCACCCCTATATTCCTGCGATATATCGGTCGACGAAAACTGTACGCAATGTTTATGATAATTACAGCCCTGTCTTGTGTGGCAGTGATTCCCGCCCAGAGCTCATGGCTTCGGGTATTGTTTGCTTTGGTGAGCAAATACGGGATCAGCACCTCTTGGAATGTACTCACTATTCATGGATCAGAAATCTATCCGACAGTTATCCGCAACACAGGAATGGGCGTCGCGTCTGTTGTCGCTCGTATCGGCTCTATTAGCGCACCCTTTATGGGAAATCTGGTATTTATTTTTACATTTAATATTCTTATTAAAGTATTTTCTGTTTTTCATGAATTTTAAATAATAATAATAAATTTAACAATTTATATAAATGTAGACACATGTGACAAGTTTATCATTTGTGATGATATTATATGGTGTACTGACTTCTGTGGGCGGAATATTAGGCATGTTTTTACCGGAAACTAAAGGCAAGGAAATTCCCGACACATTAGAAGAAGCTGAAAATTTAGGAAACAATAATATTATTTAACTGTAATTATGTAATAGAAATGTTAATTTTATTATTTAATTAAAATTATTATGTTTACAATTTAAGAAATGCTAAATAATAATTAAAATGTTAAGTTTATTTTGAATTTAAATACATTCTCAAGTCTTCAATGCGTTTGTCTTCGTCGGCGATCTCTTCATCAGTTCTCAAATTTTTGACATAAAATTTATTTTGTTTTTGACGAATAATATCGTTATAAAAGCCTTCAATTGCTGTCATTTGTTCGCATAAAACATCGGAATTTGATTTTGGTTTCAATCGACTGATATGTGGCGAGAAATATAAATTATTTGGCAATAAAAATAGTCTCTTTCTTTTTGAAGTAATTTGAGTTCACTTTTCATTCGTTTTATACCAAAACTGTTAACTTTTCTTTCAAATTGCTTATAAAAATAATTATAAAGCAAATGATCGGCTCTATTGAGACAATTCAATTTACCCAAATATGACTTGTTTTTTAATTTAGTTACTTTATGGCGTTTTCTAGCATTTATTTTAAATACACTGACATCCCTTATAGACCAACACAACTCATGTCTTAATAATACCAAACTTTCGTCCATTCGTTCTGTAATTAAAACCAAATCAAAAATTGAGCCCATTTTATGAATAAATTTGTTAATTGCAATATTATTATCAAATTGTGTTACATTTAAACCCAAATCAAAACTCATTTGATTTCTACCAAATCTATTATAATGTCTATTATTTATATCAATAGATTTTCCAATTGTTGTATTTGTGTATAAATTGAGTAAAAATTCTTTATACGATGTGTTATTATAAAATTCTCGTAAATTATAATAACTATATAATGATTCAAACAATGAGTTTGGTTTCCGTAATAATGTTATAAACTTTGTATTTAATGGCATAAAAGTCTTGAGTTCTTTGTAATTAAATCTCATATGATTTGCGATAATATTATATCTGATATTTGGATCAATAAGTTTGGGCACATGCAGTTTGTTAAACCGCTCAGGGTGACCTAAGTATCCGCCACTAATAGGTACCGCTATAGTTAAGCCATTTGTATCGCCGTATCTGAAGAATATATTCTGCAGAGAAGTGCTGCCAGTTTTGTGTGTCTTCAAGAATACGACATTAGTTTGCGATTCACATGAATTGTAGTTTAAAACTTTACAACTAATGTAAAATAAAGTATTTTGTTTCATTATGCATTAATTTTATTATAAATTTTGATAAATAAAGCTTACATGAATTGATATACGCCAAAACAAATAAAACAAAATATGAATATACTTGTAATCTGTTTTAGTTGTTTCATCGATAATGTGTTTAAAATTATATTTCTTTTTAGTAGAAATGATTTTCGTTTCATTATTTTTATTTCACGATTACTTTAATGTAAAACTAAATGTAATGACTTATGGTTTATCATACAGACTTTAAAGTATATACGTACATGGTATAAGTCAATTGCATGGCATATGTTATTAAAATAATATTTTTTTTACAAATTAAAAAGATATTTCTATAAATTATTGCAAAAATGGTTAGAAAACGCTTCAAAAGAGGTCTAAAAATAGATATTCTCGTCGCGTCCAACAGATTTGGTCTGAAATTAATATTTTCCTTAATTATATTTATGTTAATTATGTGCTTGATATCTGAATACTATTTGAATAAATCCCAACAATTCTCGACGTTATATAAATCTGATGACAATAATAATATAATTAATCCAACAGTTGTTAAGATTACAAATGATTTACAAAGATATTTGCCGGACATTAATAACAAACAATTTTATAAACAATTTTTTGATGCAAATGAAAAGCATACAAATGTAGCCCTAAATTACTGGAAGACATGGACTGACAAGTACTCAAAAATAGCCACAAAGGAGTGGACCCGATCTAATGTGACTTCTTGTGGCAAAGCTCCGCCGCCCATTGAAAACATTAAGTTTAATAATAATTATTGGCAATTAATAGCACCTAGTGAAAATTTAACTATTTATTTATACAACGCTTATTATGATAACAGAGAAATTTTTAATAAAGTTCGTATAATAGGTGTCACCGATTATTTCAATCTATTAGTGAATCAAACATTATGGTAAATATTTAATTAAATTTTTAATCTAATGTAAAATTACATTGAATTTCTGACCTATGTACATTTAAATCATTTATAATTTCAATTTGTATATAAAGGTGTTTATTATACTTTGAAGACAGAAAGAGATCCGTTTTAGTAAAGGTGACACAACTCAATGAGTTGTCGTATGAATTTGGGAACTACTATAAGAAACAAGGATTTTATCTATCAATTATAATGTCTTGTGATATTCCCAAAGACATCAAAAATTTTATACCCAAAGCGGTGGCCATAAAAACCGACAATAAATGTCCGTCAAATTTAAACAACTTATTACGAGTAATATATGAAAAACCGGTGGACAGGAAAAAGGATATGTTTGCAGTTTGTGTTCGCGCTCTCTATTATTATAACATTGATTTCAGTGTTAGACTCATTGAATGGCTTGAATTAATGAGAATATTAGGCGCTAACAAAGTATTTCTCTACTCTTTCTCCACTCATCCAAATATGGAGAGAGTTATGAATTAT